GCTTTTGAACAAATTAGTCATCCTCTGTGAGTCTTATTTCATGGTCTGTTAGATGGAGCCACTCATTGTTCTAAGTGTGGTGAGGGTTAGACACGGTGGCTGTCTGTAGAGTTCCTGGCACACAATTAATGTTCTGTCTTTGTATATTTGGTTTAATTTTTTTTTAAGCAAAACAACTTTGGTAATATCAACATTATATTAGAATCTAAAATATGCCTTTGTTCTTTTTAAAGGTAAGATTAAAAAGATTTCTTGGGCAGTGTCAACTTTTAAATATAATCAAAACTTAAGTAATCATACAATGATTATTTCTTGTTTGTAGAGACAATATAAATAACAAATATGAAAACTTATTTTTTTTTAATTTTTTTTTTCTCCGTTTTTATTTATTTTTGGGACAGAGAGAGACAGAGCATGAACGGGGGAGGGGCAGAGAGAGAGGGAGACACAGAATCGAACAGTCAGGCTCCGCAATACGCCCAGAGCCTGACGCTGGGTTCGAACTGATGACCAGTAGATCATGACCTGGCTGAAGTCGGACGCTTAACCGACTGCGCCACCCAGGCGCTGAAAACTTATTTTTTAATTGGACTTATATAAAGGAGATTTAAGGGCTTTTTTGTGCTTTTTTTTTTTTTTTTTTTTTTTTTTTTTAAGTTCAAAGGTAAGGTTTGAAACCAAATGATACATGTTCATGGGTTCCTCTGTGATTTAGGGATATGTTTTCTATTTTCTCTATATATCCCAGTTTTTATCTTTGATGTTTTTGCTACTCTGAATTCTGTTTGGTAGAACATAAGCAAATGTTTATGAATATGTATTAGTGAGAAGCAGATTTTGACTTAGTAAATAGAATTAAAATTTAGTAACAGACTTCCTTCAATTTTGATATTTTTTTTTGGCACTTTGAAATAATCCCTCATAAGTTAAAAACCTCAACGATTGAATGCCTTGGGATGACTCTACTACAAGGAGACGGCTTGACTTTCAGCGCCAGGCAGCTCACTGGTATTGAGGGCTTATTTGTGCGGCTGTTTCTCTGCCTACTGTTTCTGATAATTCCAGAATGCGCTGTGGGCACTGCAAAAGTGTTTCCTCGAATGCTAATCTTCCATCATTTCTCTCCTGACCATTCCAGCGTTGACCCATTCATTGCCTGTAGAATAAAATCAACACTCCTTTGCATGGCATAGAAAATATTTCAGGCTGTTCCTGACCTGGTTTTTCAGCTTCAGCATTTACCATTCTGTCCATCTTCAAATCCAGCCAGAGTAAATTGTGTATGCCATTATTTTTGCTTAGACTAGGCTCTTCTTTGCATAGCAAACCCCAAGTAATTTTTCCAAACCCATGTCACAGGCTGTGTTCTTCCCATATCTCTGGTGGACTCTTCCAGGCAGCAACAGATCCTCCCCTGGCCCCCAGATCTTCTCTCACGGACTGGTGGTCACACCTTTCCACACCAGTCCACTCCACCAGCTGTGAGCTTCCCAAGGACAGTCGTATGTCTAAGTCTGTGTCGTAGCCCTAGCTCAGGCCAGAGCCAGAAGTAACTGCTCAAAAACCGGCTGCTTCATTCAGCCTCTTCTTCAACAAGAACAGTCTATACATGTGCAAGTACATTAAAGACTAGCACAGGGACAGAAATGCAGTAACAAAACCAGAATTCACACCAGTCAACCTGTATTTCTGTCCTGGTGCATGATGGTGAGTAGAGAAGCTTTATTATTACATAAATGTAAATTCTGTAGGCAATTTGTGGGACCGGTGTGTGTTTGCAAGAAAGAAACAATAGCTTTATAGCATTACTCTGGCTTTAAGTGTGACAGAATGAATAGGAATTTGCTAGCACATTGGCAGACCTAATTTGAGAAATACCAGTAAACTTAGAGAAATCAAACAATGTTAGAAAAGGCACATGTTTTCATTTTGGAACATTTTTTTTTTTTTTTTTTTTCAGAAGTCATTTATCCCATTTAATCAACTGCTTAGAAATGGGATTGCTGGGTCACAAGGGTAAATATACGTATATGAAATTTTATCATTACTACGTAAGTGTCGTGGCCCTTTCATGCAAATATTAAATAGAAACAGTCTTTAAATTGCTCGCTTCTTAGTTTTAGAAATAGTGGGTCTGGAAATCGTGTTTTATTGTGAATTGCTATCATGCTTGTTGAACTTTGCTATCAGCTGTTTCAGGACTTGTACTGTATTTGACCTCTAGAGTCTAGATGAGTAGGTCACTATTAAACACAAAATTTTCTACTTCTGACTTAGTACTTCATACAGTTTTTTTTAAGTTTATTTTGAGAGAGGGCGCATGCAGACGCATGCCCAAGTTGGGGTGGGTCAGAGAGAGAGAGGGAGCTTGGTCCACACACTGCAAGATCGTGACCCGAGCTGAAATCAAGAGTCAGATGCTCCCCCGACTAAGCCACCCAGGTGCCCCAGTACTTCATACAATTTAAGGCATATAATCTGAGGTTTAGGCTTTGCTCTTTGATTGGAGTATGTCCTGCTGAGAATTTAGTAGACTCTGTGGATTAACTGTCTTCATAGCACTTTCAACATCCTTTAGTAATAAAGTAGTCAGGAGCAGGGGCAGACAAATCTGGTTTTTTATCCCCAGTCAGTAGCTATCCTGTATATTGGGGAAGTTAATGGTTCCTGTGTGTAGATTGTTGTAAGAATGAACTCAGGTAACGTACGTTGATAGCTTAGCACAGAACCTGCCACACACACAGCAGCACATGATACTGCCCTGGCAGTTACTTTGAGTGTACTTGGGTTTGAGCGAAGAGTGATGGTGCCCTCACAGATTTCCCGGAAACCCAGGTGGAGGGAGATTTGTTACCTCAGCCATCCAAGGACCAGGTCTTCAACACCTGCCTTCCTTCACCTGCTCCTCTGAACCTTTTATATGAAAGGCTTTGAAGGGAGCTTGTTCTTATCGACCACCTCATTCTATGATCTTAACCTTCTTGGTTTTGCGGACTCTGAAAATCTGGTAGTGTGGCCTGCAGATTTGCACGCACTCAGCCTTGTGCATGTGGACTCCCAGACAAGGCCCTCATCTTTGAAGTGGGTGGAAAATCTAGATTAGCCGAAGCTTTCTCTGTGTGAGGCATTGTACTTAGGATACCTGTTTATGGGGTTTCAGAACTTAGCACAAATTCAGTTTTTCAAAGAAACTAAGGAATCGTAAAAAAAAAAAGTAAGAATCACTATAAACACATTTTACCCCTGAGGAGTAGTAGGAAAGAAAACCTTTGCACTAAACTGCAGAGAAACCGTTTCTCTGAGATTTGTGGGCTTTGTAAGGGGACTCTCTACCAGTTAGCACAGTTAGCACAAAGGAACTGGCTGCCTACCGCCTGCTCACGGAAAAAGGCTGCAGCCCATCTGGCCCAGGTGTGTCTGGCAGGACCTGACGTCTGTCTTGGTTACTGAGGAACATGGGCCGTCTGTGCATAGAGGTGCTGGTGCCAGCCTGTCACGAGCCTGCCATGTTCTCGGTAGGGTGGGCGCTCCAACGTGTGTTGTGGGTGCTGGTTGTCGGCATCACAGCCTAAGACCACAACAGATAAGGGCCTTGTTTTCACAGATGGAGTTGCAGTTATTTACTGGAGATGAGGTATAAATGAACAGTTTGTGTTGTCACTTCGTAAAATTCAGGAGCAAAGAAAAGATCTGAAAACAGGTAAAAGGAATGCTTAAGTAGCAGATTAAATTCATCTTGCTGTAATGTTTTCAAAGGACACTTGACATTGGGAATATTTCTTTATGAAGCAGAGCAGCGGTTCAAGCTTCGTAGAACTGATGCCATGGACCGCCTGTGCACGCCCCTCTCATTGACATCGTAACATCCCCCAGTCTCGCTGTTACCTGTAAGCCCGCGTGGTCCTAAGGATCGTCTTGTCATGGATAGTTGTTATTTCTATTGAGCGTGGAATGATAAAGAATTTTAAACTAATTCCAACACTACGTTGAGGTTTTACACTTCACATAACATTTTACATGAAAGTACAGCCCAAAGAACTTACACTAATTTCAGTAATTTTCTAAGTAGAAACAGATGTCTCTGGAAAGCAAAATAGGATTTGAGGCAAGTCTTTGATCTGCTGTCTGATAAACGTGTAGGAGTTTACGGTCTCGAGTGAGGTAATTGAAACGCGGCTCCTGTGTGTGAGTCCTTAGCTCTGGAAGCCCCACGCGGTTTAGCTGGGAAACCAGGCCAAGCCTCCCTGGGAAGCGGGTGGAGGCAGTCACAGCATCTCTAGAAGAGGCAGGCCTGCGGAGGGTGTTGTTGATGGTGTCGTTTACTTAGAAATATAGGAGGAAGAACACATCTACAGTGAAGTAGTTCTGGCTGTCCCCAAATAGGTGCTCGGCACGTGCTTTTCGGTCCTTTCTGTCACCAGTGTGGCTGGTTGGATTCAGCGGGGAAGGGCAGAAGGGAAGCCAACCTCACAAGAAATTGCTGCGTTGGACCACAGCTGAAGACCTGCCTAAGGCCTGGTACTCTGGAGTGGCAGCCACCTGTTGCATTCCTGGTCTACTTTGCTATAACGTGAAGAAATGGCAGAATACAGCCTGCGGATGAGTTACACGTGTTCCCTAGTCCCAGTCTAGCAAGCCTTGCAACCCTCCCCAGCCAGCCCCAAATGTCTTAGTTCTTGGCGGAAAGTATAGTCCCTTTGGTACTACAGGTCCACTCGGGTCAGATAGGCCTCTCCAGGCAACATGTCGTCTGGATTTAAGCAACCTTTGCCAACACTTCTCTTTGCCAAATCTCTCTTCTTGAGCGTCGTCCTTTTTCTTAATTCTGGAAAGTTGCCATCCCTTCGGTTTGGTCCCAGAATGGATTCAAGCTGACTGATGTAGAAAATGTTGTTTCAGTTCCTTCTAGCCCACCATCATGGTCCAGGCACATTGAATCTGTGGTGAGAAGGAGTGGGCAGCCCCGGCCTGTGGACACAGAGGAACAGGGAGAACCTGCCATGGCCTCTCCTGTGGAACAGTGTGGCGGGCACAGTGCAGTGACCATGGCCTCCAAGCAGGACCCAGTTGCTGCTGGGCCCCATTCAGTGATGTATTCCTCAGGGCCAGGCACGACAGGTGGGGCTGGTTCTCAGAGAACCATGTTCTTGGGAATCTTCCCCCCTGTCACTCACAACCAGAACATTCCCTGACCAGCTCCTCTCAGCCATAGCGTGGGGTACGGGGTTTGTGTTTCACTGACTGCTGCGCCTGTCTTCTTTAGGAAAGTGAGCGTGGCAGTTCCAGAAATCAGAATATTTCTCTGACCACATCTCAGTCACCCTTATAAAGCTGCCTGTGACCCATTGTACATCTAAGCCAAAAATACCAGTTTCAGAGTGTTAGTATGGTCTGTATGCTGTTCTTTCTTTGAGGGAGTGAGTACATAGCATTTCTCAGAGGAGAACTCCCTACCAAAACCGCTTTAGCCTTCCTTTGCAAGGGGGTTTTATTTTAATGGCAAAGAAAATACTTTTCCACCTTTTTTCTAAATAGGCTTATTTCTGTCTCTGCAAGCGCTCATTCTCTCCAGTATACAGGCCCTACTCGTGGAGGACTGTAATCAGTATTCATTTGGGAGATAGTGTGAGAGGAGCCAAATGAGGAAACGCATCTGCCGGCTGGTTTGGGCCAAAAGAGGAAGGCAGCGGGGAGAGGTGGGTTCTCGAAGGCTGGGAGTGTGGATGTCTGGAGGACTGATGGCAGTGCCGGCGATGGCAGGGAGAAGCCCGTGTCTTACAGAGGAGATCGCATGGAATCGCTCCCTGATGTTCCGGACTCCAGTGCACTCTCCGTGGGGCCTCACAGATTCAAAGAAGGGACTATAGCCTTGGTGGTCATTAGACTTTTCTGCATCAAAGTGTTGTTGGGATGTAAAGAGCTGGAGTGTCACACATTTCAGTGTCTCCTCAGAAGCCGTTGTGCGCGCTTCAGAGCAGGGCGTTGTAAAGACGCATTACGTGAACAGTAGGCGAACAATAAGAGTGTTCAGTAGCCTGTGTGACATTTTATAAACAGTTGGGAGTCAATAAGTCATGTGTGTGTGTGTTTCTCTTAGGTTCATTTTCCAGACACTGAGAGAGCAGAATGGCTAAATAAGGTAAGAGTAGAATATACCGAATACCAGATTGTCCGTGGGATTAGAGGGTGAGGGGCCATCTTTCCCTTTTTGGGAATTTGGATGCTGACGATGTGTGAGCTCATTTGGACTTGGTTGGCTTCCGCTGCCCCCAAAATTGAGTCATAACTGATACATTCCTAAATAGTGAAAACTGTGTCTTTAACATGAAAAAATTAGTGATATATTCATAGTTGTGTATTTGGCCTGTGTCTACTTTCCTGATTAGCTAGTGCTCGAGTCTATTTCATAATAATTGCAGGCAACATTTTTGAAAATATTAAGAAAAGGGAAATAATTCTCAAGAAATTTAATAATAGATTAATAATCATTTTAAAAGTTATTTTTAAAGATCACATACTTTGAAGTAGATCTCCTTTATCCCTATATTTTATATATCCTTAGAACTATAGAGTAAAAACTAATGTAGATTAATGATTCTTTTATAGCACCAAAAGTTAGTCCATCATCAGAGAAAACTCTTTAATGTTTTATTAAGCCCTATACGGTTTTACATTTTTAGCAATAAGTTGAAACCACAGGATTTTTTGATTTTTTTTTTTTTTTTTTTTTTTTTTTTTTTTTTTTTTTTAGCAATTTTAAATGTGCTGGTATGCTTAAACGGAATGCTTAACCAGAATAATTCCTGAGACATATTAGTTGGTCAGTAGTTTATTGTTGTACATTTTTGAAGTTCAGATCATGTTGATTTTGCATACCAAAAGGAGACACCCCCTTTTAATTTTCAAAAATGCTGGTAAACTGTAGGGGTGTAATTTTTCATGATGACTTAAGTACATTATTATTTATGTGTTATAGCATCTTGTTTGATACGAATTCTTTCTTCTTTACAGACCGTAAAACACATGTGGCCTTTTATTTGCCAGTTTATAGAGAAGTTGTTTCGAGAAACCATAGAGCCAGCTGTGCGAGGAGCAAACACCCACCTCAGCACCTTTAGTTTCACAAAAGTTGATGTGGGTCAGCAGGTCAGTTTCTTCTTAAGTATTCTTACTTGTGCTATGAACACTTTAAAAAAAAATTTTTTTTAAGTTTATTTATTTATTTTGAAAGTGAGGGCAAGCACAAGCCGGGGAAGGTCAGAGAAGGAGGAGAGACAGAATCCCAAGCAGTCTCTGCAACATCAGTGCAGAGCCCGACGCAGGGCTCAAACCCACGAACCATGAGATCATGACCTGAACTGAGATCAAGAGTCCAACACTTAACCGACTCTGCCACCCAGGCGCCCCCACGTTGCTGTGAAAACTCTTAAAAATATATTAAGCTACTTCCAATTATTTTCTAGAGAAAATTGCTCTAGAAAGCAACCTGGGGAAGTTCTGGAAGGGTGTCTCTGCAGCTCCTCCCAGGTCTGCCTCCCATGGGATGCCCTCCCTTGTCTTTTGTGAGGCCCTCACTTGCCCTCATTCTTCCACTGTGGTCTTTGGCCAGTTCGGTTTCCTTGGTTGGTTTCTCTCCGTTCCAGCGTTTCTTTCTACCTCACATCCTTCTGTCAGAATTACCTTTGCACAGTTTTTCACAATTTATCTAGTTGGAAAGGGAGTTTGATATATGAGTTCATACTAAAAGTTTAATAATCGACAACAAGCTTAACATGTTTACCCCCTCAAGATCTTTAAAAACAACTATTAAGGACTCCCAACACCAGGCTTGTAGAATCACATTAATTATATTGATGCAGGGAAAGAAAAATTTTGTTACTGGAATCATATAAAGAAAAACTCCTAATTCCTAGTATTACTTCTGGTGAAAGCCTCAAGACAACAGGTAAATTCGTTGCTCATGGCAGGCTTCCTTTTTATTTTTGTAAGTCAGTGTTTACAATGATTAGTAACAGTTCAATGTAACATTTTTTTAATTGAGGTGTAATTGACATATAATTTTCCTGTTGTACTTCCCAAGGTAACATTGTTTTATATGCCTAATGAAAATTCAGAATTCAGTAATATTTTTAAACACACACACACACACGCACACACACGCACACACGGCGTACACACATTTGGAGCACATACAGTAGAGCCAGAGAGCACAGTGTCACCGTATGCTGCAGGTCAGATGTCTGTGCTTCAGCCCCTCAGGGATTTGATAAATGTGGCCAAGGAGTGTCTGACCTGGTGACCTGGTGGCTGCGTTGTGTTTATCAGTGCCCCCAGGCTCATCCCCATCCTGTACTCCCAAGCCATCAGTCACCTTCCTCCATCAGAAGTGATTTTCTGCCTACAGAGAACTCTCCATCTTACCTGCTGTTACTCAGCATCTGGGGTCTCCACTGCAGGCGACTGTGTTGTGCTGGGCTGTTTTTCCTCTTGGCTGTGAGGTCTCCAAATAGGTTACAAGCCTGGGGTCTGCTCAGTCCTGTTGTTAGAGCGCACACGTTAAAGGACACCTTTATAACACTTCCCTTCAGTATTTACTTTACCTTCTCTGACCTGAAAGGATCACAGCAGATAGGAAAGCACGATTACACGGTCGAGTGCCGTGTGAACTTGAAGCAGGGATCGGGATCGCACACTTTTTCGTAAAGGGCCATTGAGGCATATTCTCCCCGCCCCCCCAACTTCTTTTATAACCCTTTAAAAATGTAAAAACCGGGGCGCCTGGGTGGCTCAGTCGGTTAAGCGTCCGACTTCAGCTCGGGTCACGATCTCGCGGTCCGTGAGTTCGAGCCCCGCGTCAGGCTCTGGGCTGATGGCTCAGAGCCTGGAGCCTGCTTCCGATTCTGTGTCTCCCTCTCTCTCTGCCCCTCCCCTGTTCATGCTCTGTCTGTCTCTGTCTCAAAAATAAATAAACATTAAAAAAAATTTTTTTTAAAAATAAAAAAAAAAATGTAAAAACCTTTCTTAGCCAAAGGCTAAATTTAACTTGCAGGCCCTGGTTTCCAGTCCCCTGATGTCAGATAATACGCCTGTGTTTGTGGAGAGTTAGAATTCTGATCCCAGCTGAGTTTGTTTTAGGGAGAAATATGTTCATTTTCTACACGCACTTTAAATCTGATTGTGAGATTATCACCCAACGCAGACCTCTAAACTAAGGGAATCTTACCTGATGCGGACATTTAAGCTAAGGATCCTAAGCCACCTGTACCCCATTTTCACTCATCAACATAGCGGGTTGAACCATGTTCTTTGTAATTCAACAGTCTGTACATGTTTGAGCCAGTATCATTGGGGGAAAGGCCGGGAACCCAAGATAGTAGGAAGTGTAGGGAAGACTTAGAGTTTAATCCCGTAGCCAGTTGAGGGGTGAGATGTTAGGGCACCTAAGCTGCTTCAGTAAGCGTAGTACTCTTAAAGTATTTCTTCAGCTTGAGTGTTTGATGCCCAAATGGGAGATTAAGAACTTTCCTAGAAGTGATCTCAATGTGATAAAATGGGAGAAGGTTTGGAAGTGGTGTTACAGCTGGGCCCTTGAAATATGACATTTATTATAATCTGCCTTTTCTTTTTACAGTCATGTGATTCTGTCTCTGTCTCAGGTAATAGGTGTTAAAATTATACCTACAGCCAGTATTTTTTATTTACTCAAAAGCTCCATTGTGGTGAAAATCCTAAGAAATGAAAAATTATAAGACATGAAGAAAAAACAGAAAGGAAGTTACATTTCAAACCATGTAAGGACAGAGTAGAGGGAAAGGATCAAAGTAAACTGGGAGAAACAAGGGGCCGTGGGGCTTGACTAAGCACTCACTGTGTGCCAGGCGCATTTCCTTACATCCTTTGATTTCTGGTAACCTCGTTAGATAGATGCCGCTAGGACCCATACTTCACAGATGAGGACACGGAAGAACGGAAGCTACATAAGTTGCCCAAAGTGAAACATCGAGTACACTGTGAAAGCAGAACTGTAATTCCTGTAGCGTGGGGCTAAGCTTGTTCTCATCTCTCTGCCATTTGGGTTTATTTTTCACCCTGCCTGCATTTTAAAACAAGCTGCCTCTTGTTTCAGCCACTCAGGATCAATGGTGTGAAGGTGTACACTGAAAATGTGGACAAAAGGCAAATTATTTTGGACCTTCAAATTAGGTAAGTTTTTGTTTGTGTCATAGTTAATGACATATAATGTTACTTAGCTAGACCCATAAAGTGGAGGCTGTAATGAGCACTCTTCTTACCTGCTGTTTGGTGGATTTTTTGTTTGTTTGTTTGTTTATTTTTGAGGGAGAGACAGAGTGTGAGCACGGGAGGGGCAGAGAGAGAGGGAGACACAGAATCTGAAACAGGATCCAGGCTCCGAGCTGTCGACACAGAGCCCCACGCGGGGCTCAAACTCACAAACCCTGAGATCATGACCTGAGCCGAAGTCGGAAGCTTAACCGACTGAGCCACCCAGGCATCCCCGGTGGATTTTGACTAAACTGTTAAAGACCCACATTTATTTATTTTCTGCATCTTAATTCCTAATAGCCTAGATAATTGCCAATTATAAGTATGTTAAACTTTAAAAAATTGAACACACTACAAGAAAACTACAGACCCATATCCTTTATGAATGTTGATGTCAAAATCTTCAACAAAATACCAGCAAAGTGAATTCACCAACATATTAAAAGAATTAGACACTGTGACCAAGTGGAATTTATTTCCAGGGTGCAAGGATGGTTCAACATATGAAAATGAACCAAGCACCGCATTAACAGAATGAATGACCATCTCTGTTGATGTAGAAGAAGCATTTGACAAAATTCCATATTCTTTCATAATAAAAACACTCAACAAACTGAGAACAGAAGAAAACCACTTCAGTGTAATAAAAGGCATATGTGAAAACCCAACAGCAAACATCATCCTCAATGGTGCAAGACCAAGCTTTTCTTCCAAGACCAGGAGCAGGTGCGTCCACATTCACCACTTCATGGCACTGGAAGTCCTATCCAGAGCCACTAGGTAAGAAGAAAAAGAAAAGGCATCCAGGTTGGAATGGAAGAAGTAAAATTGTCTCTGTTCACAGGTGATACGATCTTTCATGTAGAAAACCCTAAGGATTCACAAAAAAACCTCTTTAGAATTAGTAAACAAATTTAGCAAAGTAGCAGAATATGAAGTCTGCACACACACACAAATCGGTTACATTCTATACACTAACCGTGCACAATCCAAAAAAATCAAGAGAAAAATCTCTTTTACACTAGAATCAAAAAGAATACTTAGGAATAACCTGACAAGGTAAAAGACTTGTACAAAGAAAACTACAAAACATTGCTGTGAGAAATTACAGAAAACATAAGTAAATGGAAGCAGCCCATGTTCTTCGTTTGGGAAACTTAATATTATTAAAAATCAACACTAAAAGCAATCTGTAGAATTAGTGCCGTCCGTATAATCACATATCTGATAAGGGATTAAGATCTAGAATATATAAAGAACTTCTAAAATTCAACAATAGCAAAAACAACCCAATTCAAAAGTGGACAGAGGTCTTGAATAGATATTTCTCCAAAGAAGATATACAAATGGACAATAAACACGTGAAAAGATGTTCCCCTCATTGATAATCAGGGAAATGCAAATCAAAACAGTGAGCTACTACCTCACACCCATTAGGATGGCTGCTATCAAACAACAGAAGACAGCAAGTGTTGGCGAGGATGTGGAGAAACGGGACCCCTTGTGCCCTGTTGGTGGGAACGAAAATGGTGAATTGCTGTTGAAACAGAACAGCTATTCCTCAAAAAATTAAACATAAAATTACCATAAGACCCAGCAATTCCACTTCTGGGTCTATACCCCAAAAAAATTGAAAACAAGGTTTCAAAGAGTATTTGTACACCCACGTTCACACCAGCACTATTCGCAGTAGCTAAAATGTGGAAGCAACCCAGATGTTCGTTGATGAGTGAATAGATAAGGAAAATGTGGTCTGTACATGCAGTGGAATATTATTCAGCTTAAAAAAAAAAAGGAAATCCTTCACGCTGAGCACCAGGTGGTTAAAATAAAAACTTAAAACAAAGATCAACAGGTGACTTTAGTATATAGCTAATTATCTAATACCATCTAAAGCCAAAAATAAAAAAACTTACAAGGAAATTCTGACACATGCTACAACGTGGATGAACCATCAGGACATTATGCCATGTGAAATAAGCCTGTCACAAAAAGACAAACACTGTAGGATTCCGCTTACATGAGGTACTTAGTGTGATTACATTCATAGAGACAGGAAGTAGAAGGGCGTGTACCAGGGTGTGGGCGAGGGGAAGACGGTAGGTTGTTTAATGGGACAGAGTTTGGGTTTGTCAAGATGAAGAGAGTCCTGGAGATGGTGGTGGTGATGGTTGCACAAGATGGTGTTTAACGTCTCTGAACTGCACTTGAAAATGGTTAAGATGGGACATTTTACGTTCTATGTCTTTTCCTACGATAAAAAGTGGGAAAACCGTTAATTGAGGGCAGGCACCACACCTGGCAGATAAAGGTGGTTTTCTTTAGTTCTTGTCCTCATTCTTCGTGAATGTGCTCATGGCTTCCTGTGTCCCTGTGAGGCCCGGTAACACACTGTGCAAGGGGCAGCTGCTGAAGCGTGTCGACTGACAGACACGCTTCACACTTTTGTTTTTTTTGATCCTTGACTGAGGATCCTTTTATAATGTCGTCGTTGAGTTTTTAAAGTGTATGAATATAATAAATGTAGAGTGTTGGTAACAATTACCTTTACTTTAGAAAGGAGCATTGACTGCCTCTAATGATCTGATGGAAAACCTACATCTTTAAAATACCAGACACTACTGCAAACCCTGTTGTCATCTGTAGAATAAAAGAGGAAGGCCCGCTGGATCTTCAGCTCAGCTGTGCCCTGGGACGGTCCGCTAGGCTGATAATGAGCTTCATGAGGATGGAAACTTTGAGAACAAAGTTCTCTTGTTCCAGCACTGAGGAGCGTTTCGTACGCATTTATTAAACATTTGAAGGAATCAGTTAATGGATGCCATTGTGAAGATGTAGTCTGGCTTTCATGGTTTTAGCAGCCATGACGACAGATGCAGATTATGCTGCTCAGATATTTATGTTTCTTAAAAAAATCTGCATTCCACTTTTTTGTGTGTTCCAGACTGAGACCTTGATTAGATTATTGGCAGTAGAGATGGGGAAGGAGTAATTGACAGATACTAGGAAATGAAGTGATTGTATCTTAGGGTGAAGAAGAGGAAAGTTTCAAGATTTTTTTTTTAATGTTTATTTATTTTTGAGAGAGAGACAAAGCTCCAGCAGGGGAGGGGCAGAAAGAGAGGGGGACACAGAGAATCCAAAGCAGTTTCAGGCTCTGAGCTGTCAGCACAGAACCCGACTGGAGGCTCGAACTCACGGAGCATGAGCTCATACCCTGAGCCGAAGTCAGCTTCACCAACTGATCTACCCAGGCGTCCCTCAGGATGGTTTTTTAACAGGTGATTGGACCAGCTAGATCCAGAATCCTGTTCAGTGAGAAGAATCTATTGGTGCTGGTTTTAACACCAGGACATAAATGTTAGAAGAATTCATCCCAGATGTTTTTCATTAGTATTTTGTGTTCTTAGGCACCGTCCTTCCAGCATTTCTCAAACTTCCTGCAGATGTTCTCAGGCAAGAGCAGGAGCGTGACGTGCTACTTTGGGAGTTGAGGGTGGGAGTCAGATCATAGCGACCCCACAGGAAACCTGCTCCTATTAGGAATAGATGCAAGCCTGACATTCAGCGCTATGCTCTATTAATGCTGTTGTTTTGGTGGTTTTGTTTTGTATTAATGTTTGCCATGACTTGATCATTGAGTGCCCCCCACGTGGATGCCTCATTTCTAACCTTTGATGTCACAGAGCCCTGGAGCACTGCTGTTAGTTTTCTCACAACCGGAGAGAGCATGGGTGCAAAATTTACTTCTGGTGAAATATAAACTTTTTTAATATCTTAAACAAAAACAGTTGTTTACAAAACGAGTGAAAACTACATTCCATCAAGAAACTGATCCAGAAATTGCACTTTGAGAAGTGACGTGTGTAATCAGTGTGGCAGGTGTCAAGCCTGCTAGCAGGGACATGTGCAGTTCCAGGCATTAAAGACTCAGATATGGGTCTCAGGTTTGCCTACAGGCTGGTTTTGGTTGCTTTGCTCTCATTTTACTCAGATTGTAGACCTTGCAGATCTGTGGTGATTAAGAGATATTAATACAGAACTTTTTCTTTACTAGTTTTGTAGGAAACTGTGAGATTGATTTGGAGATCAAGCGATATTTTTGTAGAGCTGGTGTGCAAAGTATACAGGTAAGGTTTTTAAAGTTTCATAGTCTTCCAAAATTCCCTATGCTGTATTCAAAAATAAAATTGTGAAGTTTTTATTAACTGAGAATTTCTTTGAAGTTTAAGTTTTTTATTTGTAGGTTATTCTTGAGAGAAACCTGAAGTCAAATGCTCAGAAGTCACTAAGACGATCATGTGTCCTCCTTCTTGAGTCAGTAAATGGCCTGTGGAATTGTCTTCTGTGACATGTTTTGGTTTCCCATTTGAATTTAGATTCATGGTACAATGCGGGTGATCCTGGAACCGTTGATTGGAGACATGCCCTTAGTGGGAGCCTTGTCTATCTTCTTCCTTAGGAAACCAGTAAGTCGATGCTGATTTCATTTTTCCTATTCATTGGCAAGACTCTGTAAAGCAGAGAAATAGTCTGTCCTTCACTCTCTTTTCCCTTTTCTGACATATGAATTCTGTGTTCATACCTCTTTAAAATGCTCTTAATGGAGGGCTTCATGTCTTATAGACAGCTTTTTTCCTGATTATAAAATAGTGTTTGTTACAGAAAATTCGAAAATAGACTTTTTATGTAGTATTTATTTATTTATTTATTTATTTATTTATTTATTTTTAAAGGTTTGTTTAGTTTTGGGAGGTGGGGACCGAGGACCCAAAGCAGGCTCTGCACTGAGCCTGGAGCCTGGTTGGGATTTTCTCTCTCCCCCTCTGCCCCTCCCTGCTCGTGTTCTTTCTCTCTCTCAAGATAAATAAATTAATTTGAAAAAAGACTCCCTCTTCCCCTCCCTTTGACTTCTTAGGCTCCTCCCCCTCACCTGGGTGGTCCTTACCTATAAGGCTCCTCCTTACCTGGGTTCCTGCAGCCTCTGACTGGCTTCCTGTCTTGGCCCTGTCTTCCGTAGACTTCACCACTGGGGTATCTTCCCAGGGTGCAGGCTGACCCACTAGGGAGCATCTCTCCCTCACAGTCCTCATGGTAGAGGCGGGGTCTCTCTCCAGCCTCCTTTGCTGGCACTGCCCCTGGTGAGCATCCCAGTTTCCAGCCTCAGGGCAGAATCACAATCCAAATAGTACCAACCCCATTATCTCTCACTGCCTCCTGTTGTCTTTTCCTTCTCCCAGAACACTGTCTTCATCCCTGTGTGTGCTTTCCAGAGACAAAGGTGGTCAGCTTTCCCTGTGTTCCTTTGATGCCGGACTGCCCTGTGAATTCTGGCACACTTCTTGTTAACTCTTTCAAAGCCATAGCCCCATCTGTCTCCATACAGTTCAGTAAATGTCTGATGGGTGCATTGATCTGTTTCTCAAATATCTTTCCATGATATGCCACTTTTGTTACCTTTGTGAGTCCTTTCTGGAGGTACCATTAACATCATGTATAGTTTAAAACGGAAACGTTAATTTTTATAATTTGATTTAAATAACTTAATGCAAATTATTGTTGTTGGGTTTTTAAAATACGGGTTTTTTTAGACTAGACTACGAGTGGTATTTTTTCTGTATGTAAAAACACAAGAGTTAAGTGTCTTTACTTTAAGTTGCTGCTAAAATTGCTGTTCTGATTTGCTTTTTATCGCTTAAATAATGGGCTTATTTTTAATGTATTTTAACTACACAAAACGCAGTGAAATTAAAAAGGCATTAAGGAATCTCTTAAAATTCAATTTCTTAAAATTTTAAGAAATGAAGAGCTCTATAAAAGATTTACAATTCATGGGGCTTTTTCTACATACCAGTTATTTAAAAGCCTTTATGTTTAAGAAACGTTCCTCATTAATGAATATAAAAAAACTAATCTTTAGCAGATGGCAAAGTATTTTTAATTTACAGGAAATTTTTAACAATTAAAAGAAAGACCTTTTTTTCAGTTCAGAAAACAATGAAATCCAAATCTTTAAATCTCCCTCAAAACTTAGCAATACTCTTCCTTAGGTTGGATCTTTCATAGGGTTATTAACTTTAAAAATAACGTTGTAATATAACTTCCAAACAAGATCTTAGTGTCAGAAATGGAGGAGTCTGTGAAAAGTTCAGAATCATTCATTTCCTTATATGGCAAGTAAAGTCTCCAAACATATGCTTTGGAGAGAAGGGATTTTTTTTTTTTTTTCAGTTATTTTCAACTGGAAAATATGAGTACAGAACTCACTGCTAGCTGCCAAGTAACTCCTTGTCACCCCAAGGAAAAATACAGCTAGAAAGATTGGGGGGGATTGGCTAAGCAGATGATATAAAAGTATAATGCCAGAGACTCTTATGAAACCTTTGCACATTTTTGTTCTTGTTGATTTGTTTAGTTTTGTTGGTGTGCTACTTGCTTAAAAAAAAGAACTAAAAGTTTCTAAAGTGACCAACTTTTTTGGAGCACAGTGAAGGTGGTGTGGTTAAGTGACAGACTTGGGTGTCCTCCGGCCTGGTCTTCCACACCTGGTCTTCCTCTTCTGACCGTGTGCTTTGCATGGTTTGTTTCACCTCTGTAAGCCCAGGTTTCCCCATCTGTAATGTGGAGATGAAACGTCAGTGGGTGTGTCCCCATCTGTAACATGTGAACTACTGCCTCACAAGATTAAATGCCAGAAGGTGCCTGGTGCATAGGAAGTCCTCAGATTTTTACAAAATCAAATATTTTCCTACATACAGGTTTAGCATTCGGGTGGGTCTTAACAGCGGAAGTCAAGGTTTGGTAAACACAATAACTTAAGTGAAGGTTCTGGTAAGGGCTGGAACAAGCCAGTGTCTCCCCCTGACACGTGTCCTGGGAGCTGGCCACTCACACTAACACGACTGTTGTTGTAATTTCCTCAGGCACACGCGCATAGGGTCCCTTTGGTATCCTCAGTTCTTTCTTTCCCTGGGGTACAGATTAGCCTAGAGTAAATCTAGGAGATGATCTGGGAGGTGCTGAGAATGCGTTTATCCTAAGAGGGTCCTCCCAGCTAGCGGACAGCATACATACTTCCTGAGTCTTTGAACCACAGATTGTATTTCTCCATCTGTAAAAATGGAAATAACATCTTCCTTTTACAGTGATTGTGAGAAGAACTTGAGTCCTGTTAGCTACAACTCCAGCAACTGAGATCCCTTAATCAAAGGAGGGGAAAAAAGGAAAGCCTTCATTTAAGTGAAATTAGTGTGTATTTGTCTCTCTCAAAACCTACTGGAATGCGGAGCTTGAAAGCCTTTGTGACTCTCATCCGTGCCTGTTAGGCCTTTGCTCCATGCTCTCTCCCCTCTGAGACCACCTTCCTCGGGTCCTCCCGTCCACAGGCCAGAAACAAGGCTGCCAGTACACTCAAGAGGCAGTGCTCCCCTTCCTGGCTCCCCTTCCCTGTTCCGTCTGGGTCAGATACAGACCCCTGGCCCAGCTGGGAGGAGGAACGTTGCAGTGTATGAATCAGGCTCCTGGAAGCCAATTCCTGCAGCCCTGTGTGGAAAGGAAGGGCTGGCCAGACATGCCCACTAGAGTCCACCGGACAGGACAGGGTCCCAGACTTAGAGCACACATCGAGTCACTTGGGAGCTTTGAGGGTATTTGTCCTGGCGGGTGTTCTCCGAGTGTCTTCTTGGATCTCTGCTTCGATACCTTTCGTTGTTTTGGATAGTCTAGCCCTACCCCCAGTAGTTGGGATGAGGGAGCTCCCCATTGCCCTCATCTGTCCTGAGTCTTGGGGCTGGCCCTCTTTCAAGTGATCTCGCCTTCTCATGCGTGTCTTTGCTGGATCTTATGCAGGAGTGAGTGCGCACACCTACCTCCAGCAGTACAGGGTCTAATGGTCAGGGCCTGGGATGGTGTCCTGTGCTCCTCAAGACACAGCGTGTGTTTTCTTCTCGCCCCCCAGCTGCGGTGAGCCTTCAGCTGTGTGTCCCTCCTCCCAGTGGCTTCTCTTCCTTACAGTGGAAGGTGGCGTTTGTGTCTCCTGAAGCAGCTGCTTCCTCCCTGGCCTCACCCCTGCAAGAGACGCTTTCCCCAGTCTCTGCAGCACACAGGCACTGCTCTGCCCACAGTGGGTTGCAGATGCCCCGTGTCTGGATTTACTCTGGCTCACCTGAACTGGCCTTTAACAGTCAGGATCTAGCTGGAACCTCTCAGTTGCCCTGTGGTACCTCAGCCACTCTCGGAGTCTCCCAAAAGGAAGGGCTGGTGGTCCTGTCACCTCCGCTGTCTGGCACATTCAACAGTGATGCTCTTTGGAGTTTTCGACATCCTGGAAAGAGCATCAGCTCGGGGAATCTGGAAGTCCCAGGAGTAACAAAATAAGGAGAACATTCTTGACTTGACCATCAGTGAAAACTGACTAACTGAAAAACTCTGGAGAGGGGCGGGAGGCACCAGTCTGTATTTTATCAGGCTTCCCAGGTGATTCGTGGTCTGTACTGTACAACTTAGTGCACCTAGAACACTGGCAATAGCAAGTGTGAAATCAGTTGACTGTATGTTTTACTGCATCCATCAGACCATGCATTTCTAGAAAAGCAGAGAGGAGAAAGGCATGTCTGTGGTTTTCATGACATAAGCAGATTGGTTTGTGTCGTTCCAGTGGAACTGGAACCACATTACTGATCCCGTTTCTCCCAGAAGAGTGACAGCAGCCCAAGAGAGTGATTGGGAAATCTGTCCCACTGGCTCTTGAATTTCTCCCAGAGAGCTTAGTCGTCCCAGGGCAGGGGCTGGGCGGGGCGGGGTGGGGGCTACGACCTGGGTCCCGGCCCTCTCGTGGCTGCCTTCTCAGCCCTCACACTCACACGTGCGTTCACGCTCACACTTGTTCTCACACACACATTCTCACACGTGCCTTCACACTCACACTTGTTCACATGTACACGTCCTCACACACTCGTTCTCTCACATGCTCGTTACCTTGCACTCGTTCTCACATACACGCACACTCGTTCTCATGTACACTTCTCCCCACATGCTCATTCTTACACATGGTCTCCAACGTGTGTTCACACTCACTTGTTCTCATGTATGTTCATTCTCACATGTGTTTGTTCTCACATTCTCACATTCGCATTCACACTTACGCTTGGTCTCATGTACACTCATTTTCACACTCATTCTCATGCTCATTCTTACATGTTCTCAAACATGCTTACTCTTTCTCACACTTGTTCTTATACACACATTCTCACACATGCATTCACACTCACTTGTTCTTGTGTACATTCATTCTCACACATGTGCTCGTTCTCATGCTTGTTCTTACACACGCATTCTCACGTGTTCACACTCTCACATGAGAGAGTTCTCTCACATATGTACATTCATTCTCATGCACTTGTTCTCTCACACTCATTCTTACACATACACATATTCTCATATGCTCTCATGTTCGCACATACACTTGTTCTCACACAGACGTTAATTCTCTTACACACTTATTCTCTGGTACATTCATTTAAAAAAAATTCTTTTTAATGTTTTTTTTTTTTTTTTTAGAGAGACAGAGTGCAAGCAGAGGAGGGGCAGAGAGAGAGAGAGAGAGAGACACAGAATCTGAAACAGGCTTCAGGCTCTGAGCTGTCAGCACAGATCCCGACGCAGGGCTCGAACTCACCGCGAGATCATGACCTGAGCTGAAGTCAGACGCTTAACTGACTCAGCCGCCCAGGCGCCCCTCTGATAACACTCATTTTTACACATCGCTCACAAGTCACGTGCTCATTTTCTCACACACAAGTTCTCCCTCCCCTCTCTTATTTCTTCCCCCTCTGTGGCTCTGGGCTCTTCCTGTCCCTATCTCCCCTGTGTTCAAGGATATGACAGCCCGTCCTTCAGGCCCTTGAAAGGGCCCCTTTCTGGGGGCTTGTCTCTTGCATTCACATCCCTTCTCAAACCCAGCTGAATCCTGCCCTTCGTGAATCCTGTTCCTGCCTCCCTGGTGTTTTGTTTCTCTGAGCTTGAGTAACATTTAAATGCATCTCATGGTTTTTTGGGGTTTTTTTAACGTTTTATTTATTTTTGAGACAGGGAGAGACAGAGCATGAACAGGGGAGGGTCAGAGAGAGGGTGACACAGAATCTGAAACAGGCTCCAGGCTCTGAGCTGGCAGCACAGAGCCCGATGCGGGGCTCGAACTCACGGACCGCGAGATCATGACCTGAGCCGAAGTCGGCCGCTTAACCGACTAAGCCACCCAGGCGCCCCCATCTCATCGTTTTGACAGGCATCATGAGAGTAAGCCGTCTGTCACCTGATGTTTTATAATCTCTGGTTTTTTTAAAAATATTTTTTAATGTTTATTTGTTTTTGAGAGAGAGACAGAGCATGAGCGGGGGAGGGGCAGAGAGAGAGAGGGAGACACAGAAACCCAAGCAGGCTCCAAGCTGTCAACACAGGGCCCAGTGTGGGACTCGAACCCACAAACTGCGAGATCATGACCTGAACGGAAGTCTGATGTCAACTGACTGTGCCACCCAGGCGCCTCTATAATCTCTAGTTTTAATGTCGCTTCCAGGGGACCCATTAATCTTTGGATGTTTCCCAAGCTTTCTGATTGAACAACATGCCCCAGGCTCATTAGTCTGGAATCAGCTGTTTCTTCAGAATCCCTTGGAAAATGTGTTTAGAGGTCATGATCAGGGCGCTGGCCACTGCCCATTGCCCCACTGCCATTTGCTTCTGCACCTGTTCTTTCAGTGGGGGATGGGCACCCAGTATGAGGGGATGGGTGGGGGAGGCGCCAGCATGAGTTTATATTGGTAGTTGCAATAAATTTGTATTTCATTTCTCTTACTCTGAAAAATAGTTTTTCAGTACTTCTTAAATTTTTTTAAGTTTTGGTCTGTCCGAAACAAACTTTTGACCCTTCTGGTTCATACTTGTTTATAACTATCCACTTCTCAAAGGGATTTGAGAAGTTTTATTGCTGCAGCTATATGGGTAATTGAGATCATGCCATTCCTTATAGTATTTCTTCCACAAATATAAAGCACAAGTCAGTGTTTCTAATCAAGCTTTTTTTTTTAACCTGTCTATATCCACTAAACGGAATCTTTTTTTTTTTTTTTTAATTTTAACGCTTATTTATTTTTCAGACAGAGACAGAGCATGAATGGAGGAGGGTCAGAAAGAGAGGGAGACACAGAATCCGAAACAGGCTCCAGGCTCCGAGAGGTCAGCACAGAGCCTGACGCGGGGCTCGAACTCACGGACCGTGAGATCATGACCTGAGCCAAAGTCGGACACTTAACCGACTGAGCCACTCAGGCGCCCCCAGAATCTTTTTTTTTTTAAATGTTTTTATTTTACTTTTGAGAGAGAGAAAGCATGAGAGGGAGAGGGGCAGAGAGAGAGAGGGGGCGACACAGAATCCAAAGCAGGCTCCAGGCTCTGAGCTGTCAGCACAGAGCCCGACGTGGGGCTCGAACCCACAAACTGTGAGATCATGACCTGAGCTGAAGTCAGAAGCTTAACTGAACTACCAGGCGCCCCTGAATGGAATCTTATCTTAGCCAACTATGTAAGAATTATTCTAAGTAAATACCCAAATACCCACTAGAAAAATGAGCAAAATAAGATACAAGTAATGAATGGATAGAACGTGTTCCGCTAATATCAGGAAAATGCAAATTGAAACAGTGATAAAGTACCATTTTTTTAACTACCAGGTGTACTGACTTTTACTGTCGGTTTTTGATGAGGGTAAAAAGAAAGAACATTTTATACATTTTGGGTGGGAATTTAAATCAGTACAGCATTTTTTTCTTTAGGGCAACTGGGTAGCATCTGTCAACAAAAAATGAACATATGGGGGCACCTGGCTGGCTCAGTCAGTGGGGTGTGCGACTCTTGATTTGGGGGATGTGAGTTCAAGCCCCACATTGGCTATGGAGATTATTTTTAAAAAATAAAAATCTTTGGGGCACCTGGGTGGCTCAGTTAAGCATCTGATTCTTAATTTCAGTTTAGGTCATGATCTCACGACTCGTGGGATTGAGCCCCACATCGGGCTCTGCGCTGACAACACAGATCCTGCTTGGGATTCTCTCTCTCTCTCTGCCCTTACCCTGCTCGTGCTCCCTCTCTTTCTCAAAATAAACTTAAAATTTTTTTTAAATAAAGGAATTTAAAGTAAAATAAAATTTAAATTAAAAAAAAATTTTTTTTAACATTTATTTATTTTTGAGACAGAGAGAGACAGAGCATGAACGGGGGAGGGGCAGAGAGCGAGGGAGACACAGAATCGGAAGCAGGCTCCAGGCTCTGAGCCATCAGCCCAGAGCCTGACGCGGGGCTCGAACTCACGGACCGTGAGATCGTGACCTGAGCCAAAGTTGGACGCTCAACCGACTGAGCCACCCAGGCGCCCCAAAAATTAAAAATTTTTAAAAAATGAGTGTATATCTTTGACCAAAACTTTCACGTTTTACATGCTAGTCTACATATGCTATAAGAACACGTATGCAAGATTTTCACTGAATCATAACTTATAATAAAAAAGAAATTATAAATACTCTAAGTGCTCATCAATAGGAAAGTTATATAAATTATTATTCGATTTTACTGGAGGAAACTGATATTATCTAAAAGCAAAACAAAAAAAGAGATGGTTCTCCAGGTACCAATAAAGGACAGTGGCTTTGATTTTTCCCAAGCGAAAAGCAAGGTAAGGTATAGGACAGTATTACGTACTATCTCATTTTGTTTATAAAGACACCTGTATGATTTGATAATTGGAAATAATCTGGATACTTAATATTTTTGCCCTTTCTTTTTTAAAACAGCTGATAGAAATTAATTGGACAGGACTGACTAATCTTCTCGATATCCCTGGATTAAAGTAAGTATGATGTCATGACCTATGGTTAGCTTGTTTATGATATAATGTGCAGTTCTAGTGTCATGGGAATAACACAGAACGGGTAAGGCCTGTGTCCAAGGCAGACTCTGAGCCTTTTCACAAGCTCTCACATGTGACTCAGGTGAAGAGACTCAGATTCCTGAGACCTGCGTCTGAGGCATGGGGACCAAGTGAGTGAAAGGGGAGTGGGTGAGAGTGTTAGACTGGGTCCCTCACCCTTCATTTTACTTTTTACTCATCATGAGGCATCTTTCCAGCTTTGCTGGGTTTGTTTTTTTTATTTTTTTACTTTTTTTTTTTTTTTAAGTAGTCTCCATGTCCAAAGTGGAGCTTGAACTCATGACCCTGAGATTAAGAGTCACATGTTCTACCAACTGAGCCAGCCAGGTGCCCCAAGTCCCCAAGTGTTGGTGTTTTAGAACAGTAGCAGCCTTTTAATAACTTGTAAGTTAATTTTTAAATTTGGTTTTTATTATTTTCCCAGAAAAATAAAGGAAACTTCAAAAATGAGTATATATTATAAAACTAGCCTTCTGGGTTGTTTTCAGGCTGTGCTGCTGCCTTCCGTTCCTCCAGCATCCCCTCCCGGAAGGCAGGTGTAGGCACTGGCCTGGGAACATGTAGTATCACCCAGGAGTCTGGGTGTGAGAGCTGAGAAACCTGGAGTTTCTGCCTTGTGTCCCTGGGAGTCCTTCGTTATTCTGTAGCAGTCTCACATTTAAAACATGAGGGAATTTGGGGCACCTGGGTGGCTCAGTCGGTTAAGCATCCAACTTCAGCTCAGGTCATGATCTCACAGTTCATGGGTTTGAACCCCACATCTGGCTCTGCACTGACAGCTCAGAGCCTGGAACCCACTTCAGATTCTGTGTCTCCCTCTCTCTCTGCCCCTCCCCCACTCATGCTCTGTCTCTCTCTGTCTCAGAAATAAACATTAAAAAAATTTTTTATAAACATGAGGGAATTTGCCTAAAACAAGCTTATGAAACTGTGAAGGGCACATTCCTGCTGTGAGGGAAATGAAGGCTTCCTCATTGGGTCACAGCCATCTGTCTTATCTAATTGAAGGCAACTGTTTGTGGCAAACCTGTTAGTTGTTGCCAAGCAGAAGGTTCTAGAATCCTGCCTTTGCTATTTACTTTTGTATTTTAGAGTTGCACTATATCACTTATTGGTTACAGTTACATATGTTCCTGGTAGATAACGTTTTAATGTTTTTTTTTTCTAAAATAACTCAGAAATTAAAAATTTTTTTCTATTCCTGTGTGTTTGTTTATGCCCCTAAAATGGTAATTGGAAAGAACTTTATTTTGTTTCATTATCAGGGAAAAGTTGGGACTTTAATAAAGTGAGGCATAGTGGGGCACCTGGGTGGCTCAGTCCGTTGAGTCTGACATCGGCTCAGGTCATGATCTCGCGGCTTGTGAGTTCGAGCCCTGCATCGAGCTCTATCCTGACAGCTCGGAACCTGGAGCTGCTTTGGATTCTGTGTCTCCCTCTCTCTCTGCCCCTCCCTTGCTTGTGCTCTGTCTCTGTCTCTCTGCCCTCTCTCAAAAATAAGTAAACATTAAAAAATAATAATAATAAAGTGAGTCCTAATAATAAAAATCTTTTTTAGGTACTGTGGTTTTATGGATCTAGAAAATACTGTTACTTTAAAAGATCTTTGCAAAGAACAGACAACTTTAAGAGTTCTTGAAGTATTCATTAGGATTCTTGTTTGCAAGCAGCAAAGCCAACTCAAGTGGTCTTAAATAAAAAAGTAAATAAATGAGTAGGGGGCGCCTGGCTGGCTGTCAGAGAAACATGTGACTGTGGATCTCGGGGTTGTGAGTTCGAGCCCCACATTGGATGTAGAGATTGCTTAAATAAACAAACCTTAAAAAATAAAGCAAATGAGTAAATAAATACTGTTTTTTAAGACAACTTGTTCGTGTATCCAACCAGTAAGTATTGAGTGCCTGCCATGAGCCAGCCACTGTTGTTAGTGCTGGAGTGTAGCTATGAACAGAACAGCTACACTCCTGTCGTGGAGCTCTACTTCCAGTGGCTCATTCCCAGCCCCTGTCGCTGGGCAGGCTGGAGCATTGTGTGGATGAAGTCAGGCAGGTTTTGGTGTCCAAATGATGCCCTAAGTGCTCTCTGTCCCAATCTTGACTCTGCTGTTCTCTGCATGGGTTTGTTATCAGGCAGGCTCTTGCTATGAAGTCGCAGCTCCTCTGTTCTTCATGCTTAGCAACTTCAGTCTAAAAAGAACCTTCCGCTGGTTCCAGCACAAGTTCCAGGGCTGATTTCTGTTTGTCCACCCATCCTTGGACAGATCCTGTGATTCTGATGACCAGGTCTTCTGCCTGCTCCCAAAGGAGGAAGAGAGGACCAGGGTGAGGGGCTGGGGGCAAGCAATGGAAGAACCTGCCCCAGACCTCTCATCCAGGCGGACAGATGCTAGGCAGCCAGCAAAACAACAGATCACTGTTGCCATTTAGTGTGGAAAATGTGTTCTCCTTTGTATATCATGGGAGGGCTGAAATAAACACAGCCTTGTCCAAAGCAGCTACCCTGTAAATAGCATCATATTAGTTGCCTTACAGGGTGAGCCAGAGGGCGTGTTTTGCCTGGCAAGCCTGCAGCTGGGGGAAGTCAGTCCCAAATCATTTATTTAAAAGAGAGATACAGGCGCACCTGACTGGCTCAGTCAGTAGAGCATGATTCTTGATCTTGGGGTTGTGAGTTCAAGCCCCATGTTGGGTGTAGAGCCTACTAAAAAATAAGAGGTGCCTGGATGGCTCAGTTGGTTGAGCATCTGACTTCAGCTCAGGCCATGGTCTCATGGTTTGTGAGTTCAAGCCCCGTATCA